GATGCGACGTTGACGTCGCAGTCGCCGTCGACATCGACGATGATGCTGATGTTTAGCTTATCTGTGTGCAAATCGGGGCAAAATAACAAAACAAATTGCTCGTCAATTTGTTGCTCTAGCGCGTAACTGTAAACCATGTGACATGGCGGCGCGTCGCTTAAGCCCCAACTTGACGCTTGACGCTTGACCTTTGACCCTGGTCGGCTTGCGTGCCCCAACCCAATAAGAGCAAAGCTGCATCTACGCATCGCCATGCGACATTAAAGCTCATTTATGACTCGTCCGTTTGGCATCTTTTTTTGTTGCTGTTTAATTGACTTTAAGATTTTATTGTTATTAATGTTATTCATTATTATAAATGCGATTAGTTGATTGTATTTTATGTTTTCTTATACCCAGAAGTCGTTGAAAATGGGCAAAAGGGTTTAATGTTTTTTGCAAACAGAAGGAAGCTTCGAGTAGTCGCCACTCGAGTCATATATATTCTTGATCAGCATGACGTGATATATGATATAGTGATAATATAGTCAAGTTTTTCTGACTGCCTCTGGCAATGGGCCTATTTTGGAAATCATAAAACCTGAATTTTCATCTATCGAGAGTAACTCACGCAGAACGTGATTATTCTTGGTATAATAAATAAATATCGATTTTTGGATATGGTTTTTTAGGTATAACTTGAATATTATGAAAGCTAGACAAATCAAACTTTGTGTTTAGCACTTAGCTGAGTATATACAAATTTAAAATATTTCATTTTACGTATAACTTCCCCCATTTCCCATAAAGATTTAAGGTAGACCCTTGGGATTTGAGATGCATAAAGTCTTGTATGCCATATTCATTCCCTGAAAATTTAATCAAATTCGGACCATAAACACGCGAGCTAATCAAGAGTGCATTGCACTAAGTTGGGTTGGGACTAAAGAAAGAAGAAGAGCAGCCATTGCAAAAAGTTCGTGCATGTCTTTATGTCACATAGTGTATCTATCTATAGAAGAAAGCTTGAATAATTATAAAGGCAGCTTAGGGTATCTCCCAATCGAGCACTTGCGACTAGAGCGCACTTTCTCTTATTGTTATTAGTTAATTGCATTTAATGCGAGTTTTTTTTTTGTACTAAAATATTTTATTGCATAGCTTTATAAATTTGATTTTACGTTGTCTTTTGTCATGTGACCAAACCGCAAAGCGCTGACTGAAACAGACGCTGTCGGCGAAGGCAACTACGAAATAGGCGTCCATTAAACCAGTTGTGAATTGCATTTGCGTACAGCAACAACAATCAGAACAACAACAAAAGCAAAAACAACAACAGACAGTAGACAGACTGTCAGCATCTGAGCTGAGATCACGTACGTTTCATTTTTCTCTGTCAGTCTTAAAAAATATATATTTTACAAAACGCATTGCTAAGGCAATTAGCTTGCTCGACTTGCAGATACCTAGTACCCAAAAAAAAAGATGCGCGTGCTACGAGTCTTAGTTTGTAGAACTTGCTATAAATTAAGTTCTTGGCCTGGTTAAGATAAAAATGTTCTCTTTCTTGAAGTTTTCTTGAGTTTGAACCGACATGGTTCAAAACAAATTCTCAGTTTTGCTGTAATCTTTGCAACGAGGGTATCTGCACGTTGAGCATTGCAGTAATTACGTATCAGCAAAGCTTTGATCGAACACATTTTATGGCTATTTTGGCCAGGTTGTTGACTTATTTTTTCGGTTTGCCCTGCCAATTGACGGCTTGTTAAATGCTCTAACCCATCGTTAACTCAATTAGGGGGGGTTCACATCACACAAAAATATATCGTGCGTTTGTAATTTAATTGGATTTTTATTCCACTTTTTTTTTGCTGCGCCCATCTTGATTTGCCATTATATTTGAATAATCAGTAAATAGCACGCGGCCAGCTGATTGTTGTTATTATTATTGTTATTATTAGTATTATTATTGGTGCATTTGTTGTTAAACAATTATTTTGTTGACAAACGAATGCACAGACAGCTCAGCTAATTAGTAGCTATAGCCGATTATCAAAACAAAAAGACTTCATCGTTTGTTTAAAGTGTGTAAACATCAGCCCGACGTGGAAAGTGTGTCAAATGCTGTAAATACTCATGAATTCACTTAATTAATAAAATAACTGCAGGCAATTGGGACTAAGGCAATAACCAAATGTAAGTGATGCACAGCTGCATATCAATTTAATTAAAATTTCATTTGGCAATTGCCAAATTAAATGCTTTGCCGCATTTCAAAATGGAATTTGGTTAATTATTCAATATAAATGTGTCGAAGAAGTGACATTTTATTTAATAATGGCTTTCGATATTTACATATTGCACGCATCATGCATAATTTGCTTGAAGACTTGTCATGCAAAGTGTCCTGCAAGACAGTCTGTATGACATGTCAGCAATGCCGTCTTCTAATTCAGCTATTCCTGGGTTACGCTCAGAAAACTCATGGCTTCCGCATGACTACCTTTGATGAGATTTTCATACACATATTGTGATGATTCTTCTCTGCGAGCTTTTGTAACTGTCCGCGAGGTCATCAGCATTTCTTTCAGGCCCAGTTGACCAGCTGGGCGAATACGTACACACACACCCACAACACGTGGACAATTGTTGTAGCAATTCTCTTGTTTACCCCGAACCATTTAATCGAGTCAGCTGATAGCAACAACAGACGCACAGACTCTGATACTGAAACCTAGCACAGATCGTGGCCAAATTTGGTTGCCAACTCTAGAGCTGTATATTCTCATTATAAGTCATATGCAAACAACTAATTTTTAATTGCCATAACAAACAAGTGAGCGGCAGAAGGTAAGCACAGCTGAACGACTGACAAATGCCGTAACTAAAGATTAAATTCATTCTGAATTTAGTGAATATTTTTGTCTAAAGGAACAATTAAAAACAATTCAATAAATTTATGCTTTCGATTACTCTTAAAATCAAATATTGTTTAACACAGAATCATAAAGAAGATTAAATGTCTGCAAGAGTGTTTTTTATTGCTGAAAAGCTTTTCTCTGATATAATGAGTAAATATTGGATAGATTTGTGGCTTTAAGGCGGCTGCCTTTTTATAAATATGAACTGTGCTCAAATACTACAATTAAAGCTGATAAGTACAAATAACAATAAATGTCAGTACATTTAAATTAATTTTCTTATAAATAATAACCAATAAGCAACAAAATAAAAAAGTTGAGGTAAAAATTGAGCAGAAAATTTATCTGAATACTAGCAATTCTGCATGTCGAAGCTTAAACTAGTCGAGAATTCTAAGCGAAAATTAACGTAAAGTGCAATAAAAGTTCACTTTCTATGTGAATTAAGGTAAAGGGAGGGAGAGAATTCATTAAAATTAGGAGAGTGAGAAAGCGAGGGAGGAGGACGATCCATTACAATTAAAACGAAGAGCATCGCAATTGTGAATCAGGCAAAAAACAAGCTTACAAATGTTAAATGACTTTTTGATATAATTAAAAATCTACTCAAATTCAAAAGCAAGCCAGAACTTTTTTTGTCTGTGTACCTAAGCAGCGAATGGGGTATTAGAGAACTGGGGCAAAGTAAATTTGCGTGCATTTCGTTGTCGGCTCTTCTTCTAATCTAAGGCATTATCTGTGGACAAATAGTCCCCAGTGTTCTAGGCGTCATTGACAGAGCTTTTCTCATTATCAGCAGCTGGCAAATAGTATAAGTAAATATCTAATTGTTGTCCGCCTCGCAGCTCTCTAGCCAACGGTTTTCCCAGTGTTTTTGTTGCTGTTCTTTCCACCTGACAGCCAGCAATTAGGCCGGGACGGAGGTAGGGGAGAGCAAAGCTGAATGTTAATCGAAGTGTCGGGCCAGCAGGCGTTCGACATGTGTCGTTGAGGGGGGATTTTGACCGAGGAAGCTGCATTTGTCAGTTTGTTGTGAGTTTATTTCTGATGCCAGTTGCGTTCTCACAGCTAAAAAGCAAATAATAATGCGGGAGTGATCAACTGGGTGATACTCTGCAGGCAGCAGTGAGCTGCTCAGTTACAAATATTTAAATTTTGCTGTGCAGTCTACATAGGAGCGGTGCTTCTTTTCTTCTTAACCTCCGCCTACTCTATAAAAAGCACGTTCCGGATTATGTTTCTTGAACCATCTTTATACAATTTTCAGAGCCTAAATATGACAGTCATTTGTGTGCATACAGGAAACTATTCTGGATCTCTGTATACACACAAGAGTCTACATGACTAGTTAGGTGTCTCTAGCTCTTAAGATCTTCGACTTAGGCTTAAAAAACCAAGTGTGAAAATCGATATTTATCGTTATTATGAAAATGGAAGGAGATATTAAAGTAAAGATGACCAGCTTCTGCTGCGTCTAGTATAGGAGAATTTACATTCGACAGTTCAGAAGCTCAAAAGCTGAACTTTTGTAGTTTTCGAAATCTACAAAAAAAATCACAAAAACCGATTTTATAGAAATGGGGCTTGTGACCGTTCATTTAAAATTAAATTTAAGTTGGATTTGACATGGAGGAGGTCGCCAGCTCTTAAAGTTGCCAATATCAACGCGACAGAGAGACGCACGAGATCTGATCGACTTGGCCTTCAGCAAAAGTGCATCAAGCTTGATGAGCTCGTAGCTGTCTCCAACAGCCCGTTGCATACATTTGCAACCAACTTATATACCCCTCAGGTTGAGGGTATAACAATTAGATAAACACGAAGCGAAGCAAATTTAAATTATATAATCAATATACATTTATATTTAAATATGAATTTTACAGTGCAATAATTCACATTGTATAGCATACTAAATATATATATTATAAAGCCGCCCGAGTCATTCAACTTTATGGGCGCAACACTAAAAACCCACCCAATCAATCAATTGATCTGTGTGCTCAGGCATGAGCAATCGTTGGCCGGGGCTAATCAATTAATCTAGTCAAGTAGCTGCCATAATTCAAACTTGAGATTGTGGAAAGCGAGCGGGAAACGTACCTTTGGTCAGAGGCCCGTCGCGGCTGTTGCTGATATCCGTTGAAGATCGTTACAGAAATTTTTACAATTTACAAGCTATCTGCTGCTGGCCATAAATTAAGAAGCACTTAATTATTAATTTATGAATTACAATTATGACACACTGGCACACAGATGGGCAAAGATAGATAGAGAGACACTTTTGTAGGCAGAGATTCAGCTCCAGATATAGATATATACATATATACGTATATCTTTTGTATGTATAGCTGGCACTTGGTTGGGCTTCACGAATCCAAACACTGATTTATGCCGCGTATTTAGACTTTAAATTAACACTTCCGCGTCGCTTGAGCTGCAGCTCACTTGAAGATCACAAAAAACCTGATGACCCACGACTTAAGTGGCATCAATTTAGCTATACACAGGAATCTCCTTGCGAGGCGCCACACGGCAAACTGTGCCCAAAACCGAACCGCACGATCGAGCTGCACAAGCCCAACTGACTGGAATCCAATTGCCCGACTGATAAGACCTCGCATACTCGTTCCACACTCGCTCCGAGCCGAGCGAGAGCTTCAAGAGAGAAATGCGTCTGTCTGTGTGCCGATAAAAGTTGCTATATCGCATGCGATAACTGACACAACTCGCATGCGACACAAGTTGATCGCAAATGGAAAATACGCTAGAGCACAGGTAACTCAGCTTATGGAAAATTTAAGCTGGGAACTATTGTGTTAAATCTCTTTAGCTGAATTTAATTATAGAATAGGAAATACCAAAAGAAAACTCCGAGCTTCCACAGTCAAGTCCAGATACAGATTATAGGTTATCCTTATGAAATATCTCAAATATCTTATAAATCTTAAACAATCAAATAGATTTGTATATGATTTTCGACTATTGGTATATCATAACTAACGATAAAATATAACTAATGCGACAAATGGGAGGAATACAAATTCTATTCGAGATTACTCGACTAGCAAATACCCCAGACCAAAAGCCATTAAAATCGATCGATGACGTTGCTTAAGATAAATAAATAAATAAGTTAATCGCTTACATTTTTATCGCATGCGATAACATAAAAAAAAAGCCAGTTCTCACAAGCCGCAGATATGAAGACATGAAAATAAGATCATAATCAAACCAAGAAGAAGAATTTCGATCAGGCATAAATTGGAAAAATGTCGATAAAACTTATAACATGCGATGAGGCTGATCAGCTAGAAACTATCGATCACTCCTAGCGCGTGCGATTACAAAATGCTACTCTAAATGAGTTTAAAATTGTGATCAACTCATTACCAATAATAAATAGGAAATATATCGATCAAATACAGCTAATGCAGGAATGTAGGAAACAGCAGGGGCCTGAAAAGCATACAAAATCTATCGGAATTGTACTGCAGATGCATGAAACGATGATGTAATCGATTACAACCGATCATTTAATGTAAATTTTGAACTGTACACAGATAATCAAGCGATTTAGAAATAACCCTTCTATAACAAAATCTGATTATGCACTTATAAATATATATACGCGAGTGCTTCGATTTGACACATTTTGCCTACGCGTTTATCTTCTGCACATGCTGGCTTTAACCTGATTTAACCAACGCATTCTGGCTACAGACCCGGTCCAGAGCTCTCCGAGCCGAGCACGTATTTGTAGTAGGCCTTGTTGAGCTGCTCGAGGAAGACAAATGAGAACACCGTGTGTGGCCCAATGCGTGCCAGATAGGGTGTAAAGCCCTTCCACAGGGCAAGGAAACCCTCATTCTTGACTACCTTCAGGATGACATCGATGGCACCCTTATACTCGGCCTTGCCATCGACCACCTTCATGTTCTGTATGCGCGTCTTGGCCATGTCCAGCGGCATGGAGGCAATCGTTGTCAGCAGTCCGGAGAACATGCTGGCCACAATGTGAAGCGGCAAACCCTCGTCCATGTGCTTCTTGAATGCGGCTTTGAACTGCGAATAGGAGGCCAGTTGGACCATATTGACGACCATGGCGCGTGCTACAGTCGGCATGCAGCCGCGCCACAGCGTAAAAACGCCCTCCTCGCGTATTATCCGAACGACTGCATCGCCGACATTCTTATAATTTCGGCGCTGATCCGGCGGCAATCGATTATCGGACATCATTCGAATGAGGGACACCTCTGCCGGATTGCCAACCATGGCGCCGCAGGCGCCCGCAAATATTCCCATGGCCATGCTGGCCAACACTGTTGGCGCCTTGTCGAAATGCTTCCGATAGGATTCGATCTCCATCTGATAGACGCCCATGCGGGCCGTTGTGTACGTGGCCTGTCGCAGCAAGCCGGCGCTGAGGCCATTGTAGAAGGCCAAAAGGCCCTCGGACTTGAATACCTTGGCGATGCAATCGAACGAGCTGCTAAACTCCTTTTGGCCACTCGCCCCTGATATTTGCATTCGGGTCTTTACCAAATCGAGCGGCTGTACAATACAGGAGCCCAACATGCCTGCCGTACCGCCCAGCACGTACTTCATGTAATTTGGAATTGTCTTGTTTTCCACCTCGTAAGCGATCACCATGTTTCGCATAGTATTCGAACTTTTACAAAAAGGTTGAAAATTTCGAAATTCTTGATATATATATATATACTAATGTATATATTTATTTATCCAAACTGTAGGCTGTGTACGCTCGACAGTGTAGTTCCAAATTGTTGTACGATTTTTTGGATTCGTTGCCCCATAAAACGTCTCTTGATCATTCTCCTGAGGCCTACTGCTTGGCACGGTTATATAGATTGTTATCGATGACAGAACTTATCGGACTAAATGACTGTTTTCTTGGCAATGTTATCGATATTGTTTTCGATGACAGAATGTATCGGACAAAAAAACTGTTTTCTTGGCATAGTTATCGATATTGTTTTCGATGACAGAATGTTTGGACATGATTATCGAGATTGTTATCGGTTACAGCAAGTATCGGACAAAATTTCTATTTTCACGGCGTGATTATCGAGATTGTTATCGATGACAAAATTTATCGGGCTCTTTGGACCTTTGAGGTCACAATTGGATCGCCTTGTGGGATGTGGGTCGCTGCAGCATTGAATTTAATTGTGGCAGTTAACAGGGCAACGCCAACAGATCAGTTAACGCGCCCATCTAATTTTCCGCACATGTCAGATAATTGTTGAACTTTGTCTTTGCCACCTGCAGCCCACCTGCCGCCTACCTGCCACCCGAACCCACAAATTAACGGGGCCCAGTCAAATGGCTCATTATCTGTTTTGTGGCCCGGACCTGTCATCATTAGAAAATTGTTCGAATTGCAATTAGAAGAAGCTTCACATTACGCAAAAACTGGGCCACAATGGGGCTGTAATTAGACAGGCCAAAAAAACTGTTATGTCAGCGAAAAGAACACAAAATATGTACTTACAAATCGCATATCGGCAACTCATTGCGGGCTAATTAAGAGCTCATGCGGCGGCGGGCAAACAAAACAACCCAACACGCAACAACAACAAGAACTTGCAACAACAACGAGAACTTGCAACGTTGTTGATTTTCGCGTTGCTCAAACAAATATCGCATGCAGCAGACGAAAGTGTCGCCTAATTAGTGGGCGCGGGCTTGTGTCTCAGCTAGACGTAAACCCCAAAAGCCGTAGCATACTTTCGGGCGGCAACTATTTAAATTAGACGCTTATTTGTGGCAGCTGCGGAGCTCGCAGCTCCAAGTCGAGTAAAAGTGGGCCAACAAATGCCAATTGGCAATTGTGAAAATTGTAAATAAATATTTCAACAAATTGACAACAAGCCGGCAAACGGAGCGCGCGTCTATAAATCAGATCCGATATCGGCAGCTGGTTGCGGTTGCAGCGTTCAGAGTCCGCCAGTTAACCGCGCCCGGGGCAGCCCTACAAGCGTGGCATGGAAAACTTGCCGTGAAAACAAGCGCAACAAAAACTAGCGTGTAACTGAGCTGTATAGTCCCCAAGTGACCAACTGCTAGATACCCTAAGAAATTCCTTTGGAATTATATTTCCTTTGAAACTCCTTTAAAATGGACAATGCATTCCGTTTTAACTTTGGAGCTTTTAGTCCGATCTCTATGCAATTTTCACAGCTTTATTACAACATATTATCATTTGTACATACCAAAGCGCAAGGCTGTATGTTTCAAATTGTGACTGTTTTTCATATTAAGCGAGAGCAGAGAGGTAGTTAGAAAATGAAATATTTTTAAAATGGGAATAAAATACAAGAACCCTTATCTGACTCTTGAAATCTTCGAGCTATGCCTAAAAATCTGAGCTTTCCAGCATCGATATTTATCGATATTATGTAAATGGGAGAATATATCGAAGTAAAACGACAAGGTCAAGGACAAAAATTTCAAATATACAGCTTTTGTAGTTGCCGAGATCAACGCATTCACATATACATACATGGGTAGATCAGCTTGGCTCATGCTCGGGGATACTCACTACTCCCTGTTACATTAATTACCACAAAATCGATATACCCTCTCTTCTACATTTTCAATGAGTTCAGGGTATAAATATGTTGACAACGCGATGTTGTTGATAAGGGAAAAAGGGGAGCTGGGAAAGCGGGCAGACACAGTGCATGGAAACCGCAGAGCTGAGCTGAGGCTGTAGCTTAAAGCAAAATGACAATAACAGCTGCAATTCAAAGAAGGAGTGTGAAGAGGAGGGGAGGGAGGGGGGTGGCAGCGTGTGAGCGTCGAGCGAGCAACAAAAAGCGACTGCAAAAGTACACACAAAAAACGAGGCATTAAGTGGCGAACCGTTAAGAAGTCATTGGGTAGACTAAAACCTGAAACAGCAATAAAGCGACGTCGGCGTCAACGTCAGCATCAACGACGACGCAGCGCATGAAAAACTTAACTGCCGCAATTTCTGAAGTAAACAGAGCAAACTATGAGAGAGTAAGCCTTTGGCAGAAGAAGATGAACTAACAGTGAGAGCAGAGCCAAGCTTGAGAGTAAAAGTTGACAGCGCGAGCGCAGCGAAAGCTACATATATACAGAGGGGGCCACACAAATAGAACTACTTTGTAGAAAAATTATTAAAATTGGAGCTTGATAATTACGACAAGAGCATTATTGTGGTCTGCTCTTAAATTTAGAGTTAAAATACGAATTATTTTTAAAAATTAAAAATATTTAAATAAATCAAGAGGAAAAAGTAATGTTGAAAATCAATAAAAAGAGATAAGATGTGTATGCACAAGTGTGCATATGTCGGATATGTAAATGTCAATATATGCGTATGTATTAAAATTGATGAACCTGTTGTCAATAAATACACACACATATATACAAAAAAAAAACAACTATAGTGCCTCACATAGAACCAGACAGAAGCGCTTAAATGTGTGTCACACAATTCCGGTTTTCATTTTTGTTGTCTGGTTCTGCCATGAACCACTGTTAAATGCTGCTGATGCTGCCAAAAAAAAAAAAAATAAATAA